AGCATTCCGTGAGCTGTCGATTAGAGAAGCGTTACGACAGCCGCATTGTTCACTCGCCTTAATCAAATGTGTTATTCATCGCTCAACATGTTGCATTTGAAACGAAAAAAAACAAATGTATCGCCCCAATATTGCATGAGAAAGGACACAGAATTGACTCGCAATACATATTGAATAGAAATTTTCAGTAGCTGCCTGAACAAACACAACGTTATTTGTTTTGATTGCATGAGTTTTGTTGCAAATTGTTTACGCAGTGAAATGTATACATGAGCTCATATATCGACTCGAAGATATATTTTGCTTAAATGCCGTTCAGTCAAGTCAATGTTTCAGGATAAGGCTGCAAATGATGGTGTAGTAAGGCATTGATGGAGTGCAATCTTGTTTAAAAATGTTTCTGTTCCAATGATTTAGGATTTTAAAAATTCAATTTTGTGTTATATTATTACTTGTTTCGAATGTGTGAGTTTTACGCAATGAAACGTATACATAAGCTCAAATATCGACTCAAAGATATCTGGCTTAAATGCCGTTCAGTCAAGTCAATGTTTCAGGATAAGGCCGCAAATGATCGTGTAGTAAGGTATTGGTGGAGTGCAGTCTTGTTTAAAAAAGTTTCTGTTCTGGTGATTTGAGATTTTAAAAATTCAACTATAGACGCATATCCATCCGATTGGCACCAAATCATCACTCTCAAATCGCCTTTCATAATATCAGCGGTGCTGGCTGCTTAACGCGAGATCAACGAGCCAACAAAACATTACAACAAATTCTTCTTGATCGAGACCAATAGGCCATAAAATTAGGGCATATGTCCACCGATTGTGCAACAGTCGAGATTTATGGCTTTGTGTTGGCTGCATTCTTTTTCTCGACCATACACTTAAACCCATTATTATTCTTATACTATCCAGCCCTGTCCTGTTTCAGCATATTAAAACAAATTTCGTACGTTTCACTCTCATCAATTCGCTCATCACCCATCCATAAATCCAAACCGTGACCGGTCAATCTGCCTAAAAACATTTTGCCTAACGACAGTTTGCCTAAAGAAACACTGCCTAACGGACAGTTTGCCTAAGGAACAGTTTGCCTATCCGGCTAAATATCCACTAAAAAACCACAAGTTAGGCAAACTGTCCATTAGGCAAATTGTGCATTAGGCAATGTGTCTTTAGGCAAACTGTCATTAGGCAAAATGTCTTTAGATAATAAATCAAAGACAAAAACATACTTACAATTAGCGAAACGTTAAATGCACAACAAATTCGGCCTGTTTCTATGGTACTCATAATAAATGATAATGGAAAATATCGAAGCGTATGGAATGGCAGAAGAATGTGGCTAATGTATGCAGAGTGTACTCATTTATCCTTCGTTCAATCGCTTCCACTGGCGAAGTTTTTCTCAAGGATATGAAATTTTCATTGCAAGCATGAGATCTTGGCCTATAATTTATCAATGAATAGAAAAAGTTGTACAAAACATGGAACAAACGATCAAGAAACATGGCGGGAGGATATAAGTACTCATTATATGGACTTGGTTGCACTAGCGGAGATTGCATTTGCTGGGAAATACTAATCAGACAGACGATGTGGCGATCAGGAGATGAAAAGCAAGAACCTGACATTGGATAACACATCGTATTCGAAGTAACAGGTGAAAAAATGGGTAGTGACGCTTAAGGATCAGAAACTATTGAGTGAAAGTTTCAGATCATTCAGCAGTCGCTAATGAGGATGCGATATTTTACGCATTCATGATGGAGATGTCCAATAAGCGATCCATCTATCATAAAAGATAGGATCGTTTGAAAGGTGAATGATTGAAATGTAAAGATATAGCATGGAGGAGCTGACTCTTTTGGATGAGATAGCTTTTTCTAGGAATATAAGTATGGGGTGTGGATAGCAGGGGGCCGGAGGGTGTTTTCCTCTGAGACAGCAGCAGTGATGGATGGATCTATCTCGATAACACTCTTAATTAGAGATCCTGGAAATTTGACACACATTGTCAGATATTGACGAAGTGCAATAAGTGACGATTGCGTCAGTATAAACATGCACTCTTTGAAAAGGTTTCGCGCAGTTCACCATGATCAGTAGAGCGTTTCGGCAAATAACATTAATAGCAGCAGTGTGACTCAAAATGCAAAAATCGGTGATGATCGTCATAACGAGAAATCCTGCGATAAGCAAACGAATTCGGTCATAAGAAGATGGAAAATAGCGATGATTCCAACAGAATGAGTCGAAAGTTGTGTGATGTTTCGCATTTGATTTGCAGTTTAAGTCTAAACTTACGCTACCATCAACTCAATGATGAAAAAAAAGTGACAGCTCAAGAGGCAGAACCACACATGGAAATTTTCCCAATTCAAACCACTCCAACAATTAAAAAAGATGACTGAGTTATAGACTCAGTGAATGTGTCAATAGTATCGTGGTTCCTCCTGATGGTTCCTCCATCAGGCTGAAAATGTTGTGTGGTATCGAATTTTACAAAAAAAAACGAAGTTGATATCTACGGTGTCAGAGGAACAGGTAGTCTCGAGCAAAAAAACGGACTATCATTGAGTTTTTGCGAGCACAAGATAATCATTCGGATGCTGATGAGAGAATATCGTTTCATAGACAAGCTTTAGTTACTGTGAGATTTCTCCGAACCTATTTGACACCTCCGAATGCGGCTGATTTTGATAGCAACAAACTGATGAGAATTTCTAATAAGATGCAAGAGTACTGAAAGAAATTCATTTCATCAAAAAATATGCATTCATTATGAGGACATTAATCAGTGAGAATTCGCTGATTAAATAAATAAATAATCAGTGTGGAATGAATAAGATGATTGTTTCAGCTCGAACGTTGCCATTCAAGCGGAATATTGATATTCTGGCTGATCATTTTAGCGCAATGAAAGTTCCTGCTATTGTCACATAAGAGACCAAGATCAATGGTTGAAGCTTACAATTAGATAATTCCCTTGAACAATCTCTTCCAAAGACTTGATCACTACTTGAGTAGCTCTTAATGGAACAAAAGAACTCGGAATATTGTATGCCTCACGGTCTCTAATCAGTGAATCTGTTATACTCTCTCACTCGATAATTTATTGATCAAATCCAATACAATATCCAACTGAAAACCATTTTCCTCTCTTTTCCGGGGCTACATTAGCAGTGATGATTCCAATCAAGTTTGAAACACTGGTTCGGCAAAATCAAAAAGAAAGCCTAGAGATGAACGGACAAAACCTCGCAATGAGCGTTACTCAAATGCGTTACTGAATATATTAAGCCACACGACCGAATTTTCGATGACTATAACACGTTTTCATTATTGAATAAGAGTTGAATGCGGTGAAAAACAGCGATCTTGGTGGCGAAAATGATGTAAGTGAATACAGCTAATCTAATGAGCATGCTAATAAACAAACTCATTCATGAGGTATCTGTCCATCAATCCACGTTTACTCATCATCCTATCCTATCCCATACATGCAAGTTATCAACAGCATCCGGCACATTTCGCTTGTTTATTTCGCTATTACTATCATCCCTATCATCATCACCATCATCAGTTCTTAACCACATTTTACATCACTCACTCGGCTGCTAATGCATTCATTTCAATATGACTTGATCAAATTATTTGAATTCGTGTGCCCCACAGCAAATTCATTCTAAGACACACACACACGTATGTATGTATGCACGCATGTATTCATCGAATATTTGGGTGATAATAACATAATCCTATTATAACGCGAATACGAAGATCGCATGATAGACGCATTTGTTATTCTAAGGCGAACATTTTTCAACAGCCTTTGGATCATGCATTGCAGAAGGCTTATCACCACTACCTACTGCTGAAGCTTACGATAACTTCAAAATGCTGTAATGCTTAACATGATAAGATACAAGAGTGAGTGATTGAGGAAATAAATTTTTATGAAGGAAGTGTCAAAGTTGAAGATGGCCGAAGAACAACCAATCATACAAAATATCTCTGGGATCTTTCGGGATATAGATAAGCAATGATCACATAGCAATAGGATTCAGTCATGTATTTAACGCTAGATAAGAAAAACAATGAGTATCATCACAATTGTCACGCAACTTTTAGTATTCATTGTTTGTAACTCTTCATGTTCAGAACGCCTTAAACCCTGACAACAGCGAACTCGGATGAAAAAAACCTATCCTAAACCCCGGCTGAATCACTGACAACAATTGCAGTGAAGCAAGAATCATAATGTTGGCGAACTGGAGTTTTTGTTGGTATCGAGTTAATCCAAGAGGAACTCCGAAAAGTGGTTCACAAAACATCGAAAAACAAAGTTATGCAGATTCGTTGATCAATTGCAGCTGCAATATACAACAACAAGCATGACGTGCTAATTAATCCAAAAAGTTATCGCTTCATATCGCATGTTATGCTTCCCCAAACCTCCAAGGCCATATAAATCCTACGGAACTCATCAGTTCAGGATGGGCAGCATCAATACGCTAATGAGATATCACATTTTTGATAGCAACATTACGAAAATTTGCAATTCTGTTCACCAATAAGATACACCTCTGCACGAGCAATGCTTGTAGCGAATTGTTGGCCATGCAAATACCTGCTGATATTCTTCATAGAAATGTCGAGCTTCCTCATAACAACACCTTTATGCACAATGAGCATGTCATCTATAAGCATATGCATGGACAAATGCATGCATAAGAATCATGTACACCGATCACAGTAGGTGCAGCACAGTGATTGATCATTGATGTGATCGATTTAGCAGTGAACTAGCAGAAATATTCGTGGTGGCAGTGGAGAGCAGTGAATAACGGAAATTAATTAATGATGCTGTGGCTGGCAGTAATGAATTGATGCTTGACACTAGACGACTCGGAACGAGCTGCTTGATTGAGAAAAGATGCTGAAAGCTGCTGCTGCTGCTGCAACAAAAGGAGAAGAACTTGAAATAAATTAAAACTAACGATTGTCTGCACCACAACGATTGCACTTGAACCGTTGTTGTTGCTCATCGCAGGAATTGTTCTCGGAGAAGGCACTACGCAAGTAGGGTCGTGATGATCGTTTCGGGTCTGTCTCTTGACGTCGTTTCAAACCCATTGCTGGTGCCGTTGAAGCACCATTTATCTGAAGATGAATCTTATGAATGCATGATGTTGCGACGAAGCGCACAACAGACGATTCATGAGGGACACCAAAGTAATAAATAAATTTAACGTTTAAATCTGTACATTAGCTGTCTATGTATAAGTGTGTTTGTTTTCCTGATCGAAACTGTTTGTGATTTTAGTTGTGTTGCTGGTGCGAAGGCGACAATTAATAATTTAGTTTATCCACACAAATAAATGAAGACGACAATAACGGTTGAATACAGTGAAGGTGGTTGAGTGACGAGAGATGCCGATGATGGCTCATAAACAACAACAACATTGGATGCACGAACAACACACTAACTAACCAAAAGGGATGAACTGATATAACTACACTGAGCTACTTATATAGTCATTGAGATTAGCTGATTACGAAACAATGGTTACGAATTGCCAATGGTGGCCAGAGAACGGCCACCATTGAAATATGCACTATGGAGAGACATACAAGAAACGGTAAACAATAAACAAGAGATCACCGGTTTATCTCAACATCATCCTTCAAAGTGGTATACGGATATCATGCGCTATCGATTCGGATGATCGAATGTAACTGTCGTATATCTTACTTGGAGGATCTCCTCACTTTTGTGTTTGTATGATATGAATGCTTTGTGTTTCGATAATATAATGCAGTGTTATTACAAAAATAAACGCCGAAGTAAGAAATATCGAGAAGTAACCTCGAAATAAATGAAACGCTTTGATTAATCACCGAAATTGCGTTAATGTCAATGATCTGATAATGAGTGCAGATTGGGTGGGGATTTTTTCATTGGATTGGCCTCATTACTGAATTAGATAAAAAGTCCTTGTTTAGGTCAGACTTGAATGCAGCTGCGATCTTATTATCGATTGAGGTCTGACACATGCAAACAGTGTTTATCATGAACATGATAAGGACGGTACCCGGTCAATCTGCCTAAAGACATTTTGTCTAAAGACACATTGGCTAACGGACAGATTACCTCACGGATAGTTTGCCTAACTTACGGTTTTTTAATGGATATTTCGCTTAATAGGCAAACTGTTCGTTAGGCAAACTGTTCGTTAG